CCCTCCCACCCCACCTCACCCCCCTAATTGACTCTCTCGTGGAATCGATCACTGTTGTCCCAGTCTGTGTACGTAAACCCAATTACGCGACACTGTTGTAAGTCTTGCGCAGCACTTTCACACTTTTCAACACAGCGCTGTTGGAAAAACTATTGAGTCATTACGAGGGTTCAACAACTTGTTCAGTAGGAACAGCTGCGCAGATACAAACTGATTATGAACGGAATTTCAATGTTCATGGCGCAGAAATGGAAATTACCCCGAGCACATTTTAGTGTTAGCCAAACGATTGTAAATCTCGGATAAGGTGACCAACGCCCTGATACGTCTCTACCTCAAAATTACAAAGTTTTATTTAACATTTTTGGCCGTTTTGAGTTACTAGGCTAACCCCATGAGGCCAGAAACCAAATGACACATCTGCTCGAAGTCGTTATCAAGTCTAAGATGTTCAAAGAACTGCATTTGAAAAGGTTTGATATGACGCTGTGAAATTAAAATATCTTTAACTTAACGTCCAATTTCTCCCAACTAGGTACAGAGCAGATAAGACTTTGTAACTCAGGGGGTACCGACGTTTCAACGTCCAAAAAAAATCTTCCCCTTAAGGAATTTCACATAATAAGGGATATAATATAAAACAACATTATCTCAAACAACAACGGATATTTCATATATATATATAACAACATGGATAACACCCTGTATAGGCCAGAGACAGTTTTTAAAAAATCCTTATTGGATCAGGTTTGATAAAACCTGTAAATTCTTTGCCATATCGTCAGGCCGAAGGGCTAGAACTCAAATGGCCGCTGGATTGGAAAAGTAAAGTAAAGTAAAGGTATCAGGTTTGTTGATACAGTTGTCAGTTGAGAAAGGCAATATTTTCCTTCGTCGAAGGGCAAAAGCCACCGATTTGACTCAATGTGATCACTCGTAAATGAAACATGTTTGATTTTGTGGGTCACGGTGGGTCCCAGTTTGATAAAGTCGTGGGCAACAGCCAAGTAGAAATAGAAGGCTGCATTGAGGGATTAGATCTTTTGTTTGCGCGCGGAATGCGATAGGCCTTAATGGACCTCCGGGCCAAATTTGATAAAGCAAAGCAAATATATCCATTTGATAGAGTCTGTAATGACCAGCGGTATGACATAACCCAACCTGATGTATTTGACCTTTAAACATCCTTTTTGTTTTGATTTTGATGATTTTGTTTATTTGAGCAAGAGTTTTGCAAATAAGTCATACGTGCCGAAGAATAGGGGTGTTAAAGGAGGAGTAACAGACACAAAAAAGGAGGAGAGATAAGGACGACAGATGTTTGATAGGAAAGAAGGAGCAAACCACACAAGAGAACATCAGCATACCACCCACTTGAACATCAGTGGTAAGTGAAAATGACTCAACTTAAACATACATCAATATATGACAGGCAATGAATCACAGGGGAACGGATCAGCCCGTCTCGGTTTTACCCAGAAGTAAGCCACGCATCTCTAACAAGAGCAAAAGTCAATGCTTTTTTGTATTGCGGAGCGTATTTCCGCGTTATTAGTTCTACGAGCTCAATCCGACAGACAATAGACAAACAGTCCACATCCAATCGTAGAAAAAGACAAACAGCCCATTCAATCGTATAAAAAGACAAATAACTCATTCAATCGTATAAAACAGCCAGACCAAGGGTCGGGAAAAAAAAGCAATAACCGGTTTTATTATCCCCAGTATTTGGTGGGGCGAGTCTTGTCTTAAGAACCACTTGACGACAAGGAAAATCAATGCGTGAAATCGTCGGCGTGCGGAGTGAGCCTCTAGCCTAGCTGCATGAGTCAGCGACGAGTCTGTCCACCGATCGGTAACCCCCCCCCCCCCACCTTATCCTCCCTCCCCCGGGACCCTTGCGCGCCATGACAGTGGGAGGGGAGGAGGAAGGTGGAGGGGATAACAACAGCAGCAGTGGGAGTGTATCGATCTACATGATTATGATTTAAAAGTTTCCTCTTACTTCTCCTCCCCCCTCCCTTTCTCCTCCCTCTCCTTCCCCGGGACCCTCGCGCGCCATGCCATGGGGATGGGAGGAAAGGGGGGGGGGAGAGAGAGAGGGAGGGGGTGGGGACAGAGAGAGAGAGAAGGGATAACAACAACAGTTACAGCAGTGGGAGTGTATCGATCTACATGATTATGATTGAACAGTCTCTTCCTCTTCCCTCTCGTCCGTCGGGAGCCCAACAACAACAACAGCCCGACAGGCAGACAGTAGACAGACAAAGCAGAGGGGACGGCTAGACACAACATGGGTTGTTATACAACGCTATTTCACACAATAGGGGATATAATATAAAACAACATTATCTCAAACAACAACGGATATTCGATAATATAACAACATAATCTCACACAATAAGGGATAACAAACATATAACAACATCATCTCAAACAACAACAATTACAATATCTCCTCTTTCTGTGCCTAGCTCCATCCATCCAACACAAAAGGGTCTTGTTTTGTTTTGTTTGTTGTTGTTTTTTGTTTTTTAAATAAAAACCTACAGTTTGGCCTCCTGTGGGAAACGGGAATTCCGGAACTCCAAAAGGGGGCTAATGATGAGGGATTGTGCGCGTGCGCGTTTATGAGAGTGTCTACATGATAGTGATAGACGTGAGAGTGGAGACAGATAGACAGACGGATGGACAGGCAGACCGGCTGTTGGATATGAAAGAGACTCAGGTTTACATGTACACAAGGATGTTCTCATAAACCAGACGCATAATAATATATTCCATAGACTGGCAGACTGACAGAAACACAGGCATGTTCGTCGTGGGTGAAAAATCGTGGGGGTT